ACAAATATTAAAATCTAAAATTTGAAAAATGAAATGATACTCTAAAATCCCCAGTAGGAGTTAATGAGTGAGTCGTTCATTCAACTGATTCGTTCAAACAGCTGATTCATTCAGAAACGAAGCACATCATAAGGTCCTTATGAACGAGTCAGTGAATCACTGGCTCGCTCGATTCATCCAAACGACTGATTCATTCAGAAACGAAGCACATGACGGTCTTTATGAACGAGTCACTGACTCACTCGATTTGTTTAAAACCATGGATTCATTCAGTAACGAATCACTGCTATGTGCTCATGCTCAACAGATCTGCTGTGGCTCTGATTGGAACTATTTCCATTAGTGAAATTGAGCAAAACAGACGATATTGTGTCTAAATCACTATATTAACTTCTTGTTTATGTTCCTGTCGTATAAAATCAATATCACGTTTGCATTTGTGCAGATATTGGGGAGAAACAGCACTCTTGCTGGAGTGATCCTGCTATACTATATCATACGCTGTAAATATAATTTTAGGCTGATATCAGTGCATTCATCACGCAGTCAGTCGTCCTGCATCACGATCATCAGACGCTGCATCAGAGTGAGTGCATATTCACCTGTAGTTTCTGAGTGAGCGAATCGTTCTGTGTTTGCAGCTGGCTGGCTTCCTCCACTTCCTGTTTCAGATTCTCCAGTTCCTGTGGGGAACAGACAGACTGAGCACTGCATGTTTTGAGTGTGAAGCAGTGGATGGGTGGTTTGCAGTGATGGTGTGGCGCTCAGACCTCCTCTCTGGCCTTCAGCTCGGCCTCCAGGTCTTCTATGGTCTGGTTCAGCTCTGTTTTCTGTGTTTTGACGCCGGCGGTTTGTCCGCTCACACACTCCAGCTCCGTGACCTGAAACACACACAGAGTCACGAAGAGCCGCTGTTCACTCAGAATCAGAAACACTGAACTCGCTCCATATTTCATCATTATAATCTCAGCATGCAGCAGCATTATATCTGAAAGGATCATACAGAGAAACATTCTACTGAAACTTTGATGGAAAGTAAAATAATAGTTCACCCAAAAAAGAAAATGGGCTTTTCTCTTCACAACTTGGACTGGAGTGGTGTGGATTATTGAGATGTTTTATCAGCTGTTTGGACCAGGGTTATTATAGCAAACTAAAAAATATATATATATATAT